AGTCTTGCTTGTTCAGAAAAAGGTATTCATCTGAACCTATTTGTTAACCCAGGGTTTTTCATTATTGTTTAGAAAGAAAGTTCTTGTTCAAGATTGTTTCTTTTAAATCTGAGTTTGGCAAGGTTTTTTACATGGAAGCATAAACACTTCAGATGTTTGATGGTAATATCAAGAGGTTAACAGGTGGTTTAGAAGTATTTTGAGAAGGTTGATTTTGTGTCACCAGCTATATTTAATCCCTCTAAGATAAAGTACCATGAACCAAGGTTCCTCTCAGATGCTCTGTCAGTCTGCAACTGAGTCATATAGTCCCATCTCTGAAAATAAACGTTTAACCTACCTGTGCAGTTGAAGGTAAGCTGCTCACACTCACATTTGTTAAGTATCCCTCTTTTGGTTTTCACCCAAAATAAAACTTATTATGTATTAGCTTTTCAGAATTATTCAGGGTTAAAAAACAAAAACAAAAACAAAATCAAAAAAGAAACCCAGAAAAACAGCTTCTAAGTGTTTTAATTGCTTGGTAACTGAAGATGATTTCTTAGGAATACCATAGTAATGGTGGTGAAATATTAGCAATCTCACAGGCAGAAAGGGAGGAGTTTTTGTATTTATATTTCCACAGGCATGGTTATAGGATTTAATACTGTGCCTAATCAAACACGCAAGGATTTGATTACAACAGAGTGACTGAACAGTGGAGCCATCAAATGACTTCCATAAAGCTTCAAAGGCGGACTGAAGATAGACACTGCTCATGCTTCCTAATCCCACCAGAGGTTTTAAAACCAGAAGGTTTGTATTGTTCCAAGAGTTGCAGATTACTGAAGCAAAAGAATAACCTTCTGCAAACCCATGAGACCAACAGTGAGTTCCACAGCTGCTGTAGGGGCTTTCACTGTCCTGCACAGCCCCAAAGTAGTTTTCCAAAAGTAATCCAGCCTGCAGCCGTAGACCACCATGGCGAGGAGCTGGAGCTCCCACTGCCCTTACAGGAACTAAACCTACCACTGCTTTTTACAGGACAGCTGCAGGTTACTACGGAATTGTTACTACTACAGCTGCCAGCAGGGTACAACACTATTTTCCTTCTGTGAGGATGGTACCTGTGCAAACCAGCAGCCAAATAGCCAGCAGGAAAGATTCACATACCTACGGAGTTCCAATTATTTCATTTGTCAAAACATGTGCAAATTATGTCCTTATTTTCTTTACTAAGCACCAAAGAACAAAATGGTGACTGTCCCATTCTAAGTACAACACACCGGGTGCAGACTAAGGGCATTCTATTTTCTAGTTTTTGAGCACTGTCCAGTTAAATTGTTCTGATACTAAGCTGTGAGCAACATGTCTTCATTTGGGCTGGCTCCAGATGAATTTCTGTTGCTTGGTTTAGTCCTTCTATTTTCAAAAGGAAAAAAAGAAAAGAAAAAGAAAAGGAAAATTAAAACCAGAATGCATCCTTGACTAATTATTGTCTGATTTCCACGTTGGGTACCTTGAGATATGCTGAATTTCTATTTAACTACCTGTGCAGTAGAACATGGGTTTGGGTAGCTATTTAGCTATTGGAAAGCTGATCACAAATAAAGCAGTATTAGAGCCAGCACCATTTCAGCTTCAGGAAGAACTTTGTGTCTGACTCTGTGAGAAAATCCTGCTGGTGGTGTATTTTATTTCTATAGCACTATATGGCAGCTTTGGTAACCCTGGTGGCTCTTCAGATACATGGCACTTTCAGCATTGACACATGCTAACATAACTGTAGCATCTGACAAGCACAGAAAAAATTCAGTCCTATCTGAGAGATCCTGGGCACGGACCAGGTGTAAAGGGCAACAGATCCTCCTTTACAAGGGCTCTCTGCTGCGGAGTCCCATAGGCACCAGACTTGCCTGCCTTTTATCCAGTAAGTGAAACTGTTGTGGTTGATGGGGGTTGGGCTACAGTATCGTCAGAGTGCTAATATTCAACTCTGCAGCTCTGCTTTAGCAGATCCAGACCCACCAATGCCCTTCTCCTCCAAGTGTCCACCAAGAACTGGTAGAATAAGGCCAACCAGTTGTCATAGAGGACAGCGATAATATGGCAATAATGCTGACTATCACGCAGGAACCAGAACATGTAACCTTTCCTTTAGGCACAGATGACTCTCTTTCTCCTATCAAAATTATTCACAATTAAAAAAAGTAATATTAAAAGTATTGTCTGTAGTAACGAGAGGTGTTAACAGCTCTAAGTTTTGGACATAGATGAAATTATAGCTTGTGTCTTTCAAGATGATTTCATCAGCTTTGAATTGCCTCTGACCATTAACTAGAAATTCACTTAACCTGAGATTAATCTTGCAAGACAGGAAATGAAGGGTAATGCAGCACAGGCCTTCTGAGACATGTATTAATCCCAGCCTTTGACACAAACATGGTTTTAAATAGCGAAATAACAAATGAGCGATCTTTATCTCCCTGTGAAGTCCCACATCTGTACTGTTTGCCTCAAGAAATCTAGGCAAGAGAAACACTTATCCATGCCCATCACTGACTTTTTCTACTTCACCTTGGAATAAAACTAGAGTGCCTCATTTCCACTCCAATTTAAAACATGGTCACTTCAGCATGTGAGTGCATTAGGAAAACAGCAATACTGATCAGGAAAATGCAGAACACAGATTATGCAATGTCTGCAGATCTTTCACAGGAGGGAAGGCAAAATAATGATTACTGCTTGTAAACCCATAAAGGGTCCATGTTCAAGCAACGCTGGACATTCTTTCTCCCTCTCTAACCACACAAAAGGAGTAAATTAACCACTGCTGCCTGAGGAAGCCTGAGCCCTCCCAACTCTTAGTACAAGTTTGGAGAAACAAGATAGAGCAAAGAATTGTCAGGCACCTGGGTAACCAGAGTACAGAGTCATCTGTGGTGTCTTTAGGCCTCATGCAGATGTTTGATTTGAGACTGATGTTACTTACTGATCACAAGGTGGTCAGGTTAGACTCCTCTTTCACTTCATCATATATTTACATTTATATCCTTTTATCATGATATGAAATACTTCTGTGACTGTTGCAGTATACCTGCAGTGCTTTAATAGTTTTGGACTGTTTAAAAGAGTTATAAATTAAGATACTTAGCAACTTGCCAAGACAGAGTTGCAGAATCTTGTACTGACGCTGAGCAGTAAGAAAAGTAAGCTGGATTTCTGCTTTGATTTGTGTCACTCAAGCAGAGACTCACAGAAATGGCACACCCACACTATTTCAGCAGGATCTGTGGGACATCTTACCTTTCCTTGCATGTTACAGAAGTTTACCTTTGGCAAGCAAGGAACAAGAACTCGCAATGCACCGCAGTCACCTGTTTTGGGAGGAATGTATCCCTGTTGGAGCCTGAATGACCCTCTCCTAGCCTGAGGAGCCAGATCCTCAGCAGAAACCCAGCCCGTGCGCACTGCCCTGCAGGACCCTCTCCCTCTCCTGCTCTCCAGCCCGCCTCCAGATCTACCCGGGTCACTTCAGCCGGTCACTTGCCTCCCGCATCCCGCTACCTCCCCCCATCCCTGCCGCCGCAAATCAGCGTGGAAAAACGGGGAGCTGCTCCCGAGGTCTCCGAAGCGGGGACCCACTACGGGGAGGGGGTGGGGGGGGTCGGTCCTACACCGTTGCACATGCAACGTCTGTCAGTGTTCTGCTCGGAAGCCCCTTCACTCAAACAACCCCTCGCGCTCCGGAGCCGGGAGGGAAGCGGCGCGTCCCCAGGCTCCCGGGAGGGGCTGAGCCCTGCCGGGCTGTGCAGCCGACCTGTTGCTTTGCTTTGTACAAGCAGAGCCGCTCGTTCAGAGGTCTATTGCGGTACTCCGAGACGTGCGAAAAGCTCACTTCTTCACTCAGCCCCTTTCAAAGATGCCCGGTGAGACAAGGGTACCCGGCCACCATCTAGACCTGCTGGTTGCGAGGATTCCTGGTGAGGGGCGGCCAGAGGCGGGAAGGGAAGAACCTCCTGCCCGGGGATAACCCCTCCTGAGTGTAACCATTTAGGCACCACCACATCGCGCTCCTTCCCATACAGCCAAACCCTAGCGAGGGCTCCAGGTGTTGTAAAACCTAGGCAAGAGTCGGGGTGCCCCGAAGGACCAAAAACCATTCGTGAGGGGTCCCGCAGACGTGGCCGCCAAGCCCCCAGGAACGGGGCTATCCCCCAGCGTTGGCCGGGAGCCCTGCGCTCCCCCCGCCCTGAAAGCACCCGCAGCCCGCGGTGGGGCTGCAGGAGGCGAGCGGGTACTGCTGCTCTCCCGGGGGGCAACACCCGCTATTCCTGCCCAGTGCGGTTACCCCGGGAGCGCCGCACACCCGGCCGACCCCTCCCGCCGCTCCTCAGGCTCCCACCGACGAGCGCGCTCGGCTTGGCAGAGTCTGCTGAGTAGTTAATAACATAACAACCCGGCTTTGATCAATCCGAACTAATTACCCCTCTTAATTAAAGTCTTTAGCGGTTGTTGGAGTGTTTTGGCAGGGACGCGGCGGAGGTTTGCAGCTCGGCATCCCCCGCGCCGCGCTCCCAGGCCCAGCCGCAGCCCCCCACGGGCGAGTTATTTATTTCCACGAGGTCAACGAAATACATTTTTTTTCTCTCTTTCTTTTTTTTTTTTTCTTCACGTGCAAGAAGAATCAAACCGAAATTCAAATTCGTACATAGCGGACCAGTTCTGTCCATATAGATACGATATTCAGGAGGGAAGAGGGGAGAGGTGGAAATCAAGAAAGGGGAGGAATAACCAGCAGGCAGCGGAGGCAGGGCGGGATCAACACAATGGAGATATATATACATCGAAATAATTAAAGTGGTGCAGCGTTCCCGGTTCGGGTAATACAGACCCCAAATAAATACAGCAGAAATTGGCTTGGCGCGTTTTCTTTTCCTTTTTGCTTTTTTAAATCATCTCTCCACCTGAGATGCAACGACAAAAAAAAAATAAAAATAGAGTCTTAAAAAACATAAAATTAGAAAAATAAAGAGGGGAAACAACCGGTCCCATGGACGTGAGTGGCGATATAGAGCATAACACACAAAACCGCTTAACAGGTGCATGCAAGGGGCGGCTGGAGCTCCCACCCTCAAGGCTGGAGCGGTGGCGGGCCCGGCAGCAGCGGCCCGGAGGGGGCCGGCTGCTGGTCAGGCCCCCCCAGCTCTGCGGGGGCCCGGGGCAGTCCCAGGGCGCTGTCGTGCAGCTTGCGGACGTGCTTCTTGAGGTCAAAGTTCCTGCAGAAGCCTTTGCCGCAGGTGGGGCAGGTGAAGGGCTTCTTGTCGTTGTGGGTGTGCATGTGGAACGTCAGGTTGTACACCTGGTGGAAAGCCTTGTTGCAGATATTGCACTTGAATTGCTTCTCGCCGCTGTGAGTCAGCTTGTGGTTTTTGTAATTGCCTGGGAACGAGACAAAAAGGGCCAAGGGACCCGGGGATCAGAACTGGGTGCTGCAAAGACCAGGGGAAAACCCCCCAGCATCCCGAAACCCCAGAGCTATGCTTTAACCGAAACGACCGCCGACCTCTTCGCAAACACCAGCCTTCTCCCCATTCACCCGCGGCCGGTCCCTTGACAGACAGAATAGTAGAACTGTTTGGGTTGGAATGGGCCTTAAAGACCATCCAGTTCCACCCCTCTGCCACGGGCAGGGACACTTTCCACTACGACTAGGTTGTTCCAAGCCCCGTCCAACCTGGCCTTGAACACTGTCAGGGATGGGGCAGCCGCAGCTTCTCTCGGGGGGAATAATCGAATAAACCGAAATCCCATCAATTGTAGAAATAAAACCCCTTGATTCAGCCTTCCCAGCAGCACGGGGAGAAAAGCGAACCAAATCCCGCACTGGGAGAGGGAAAAAAGCGGCTAACTCGTTTGCCGAACCGCGGGTGCCGTGCGCCGACAACGGGCGCTGCCACGGGAAGGCGGAACCAGAGCCCGGCCCCAGGCTGGGTCGTGCAGAGGGAAACGGGCAGGGGACAGCGGTACTTAAAATTAACCTCAATCTCTAGCAGCAGCCATTAAACCCAAAATAAACTCTCCCCCGTCCGAATAGTCCAGACGCTCGGCCTCGCCTGGGGGGGGGCCGCAAGGGAGAGTGCTCTGGGGCCAGGTACCTTTCTGGTGAAATCCTTTGCCACAAAATTCACAAACAAAAGGTTTGTAGCCAGCGTGTATTCGCGTGTGCGTGTTCAGGGTCGAGCTCCGGTTAAAGGCTTTGCCGCACTGGTTGCACTTGTGTGGCTTTTCCTGGAGGGAAACAAACGCCAAAGTCACGGCTCGGTGGTTGGTGTGCGGGAGTACGGGGTTTGCGGGTTTGCAGGCGTTCTGTGTGCTAGCTGGTGGCTCCCGCTCCCGGTGAGCGGCACCCCGCGGCACCCACATCTCCTGGAGCAAATTAAATTCCCGCGGCCCCAGCTCAACCGCCCTCTGTAACGCGCCACTGCCTGGCGGGGCTCGGGCCCCCCGAAAAGGCTGAGAGGAAAGGTCTCGGGGAGGGAGGGAGGGACGGAGGGGAAGCTCACCTGGGTGTGGATGATCTTGTGCCGGCAGAGCGTGCTTGCCTGTCTGAAGCCCTTCCCGCAAACTTTGCAAACAAAGGGTCTGGCTCCCGTGTGCACCGGCATATGGCGAGTTAAGTTATAATGTGCATTAAATACCTTGAGAGTGAAATCAGACACACACACACACACAAATAACAATTGCGATTAGAAGGCGAGAGCGCCGAAGGGGAAGCCGTCGCTTAAAAATCAAGCAAGCGAGGGACCGAGGACCCGGCGGTCAGACGGCCGAGTCAGGAGGCTGGGGAGAGAGGAAGGGTGGCGAGCTGCCGCTCTACTTGCCTTTCCACAAACTTCACACGTGAAAACTTTGGGCTTGCTGCTCGGGGAGCCGCGGCTGAACTCCGATGTCTTGTAGGCGATTTTTTCCGAGAGGATCTGGGCGCTCTCTTTCATGTAGTGCTGCAGCTGGGTCTGAGACAAGTCCTTGAAGGCCACCCCCGCCGGGTACTTGTCCACGGCCGGCAGCACCAGCTTGTTCCTCTCCGCCAGGTAAGCCTTGGGCTGCGGGTGCAAGGGGGAGCTGAGAAAATAAGAAGCCACCGGGTGGATGTTGACACTGGAGGACGGGTGACAAGGGCTGTCGCCTCGGTTGAAATAGCACAGGGCTCCCATGGCGTGGAAGGAGGAGTGATTGACCACTCGGGGTCTTACCAGTTTGTACTGCTGCAAGGGCAGGGCATCGCGGGGGAAATCTCCTTTCAAGCTCAGGGCACAGTTCAAGAGATCGCCGCAGCTAAAGGAGGGCGAGGAAGAGGAGTCTAAATGAGCCTTCCTGGGTTCCACTCCGGCCACCGCCGCTTTGGGCAGGGGGTCGTACGCCACCGGGACAAAGGGGATCATGCAGGGGATGGAGGAGTTGAGGTGCAGCGGGTGCTTGGGGTCGCCTTTGGCCACGGAGCCGTGGAGGAGCTGCGGGACGGGGATGGAGCGGGGCTCTGGCGTCCGCGCCATGATGCGCTCAATGGAGAAGGCGAGGGGCTTGGGCGTGCTGATCATGTTGCTCCTGGCAGACAGGCTTTCTCTGGCTGGAGGAGTCGCTAGGATTTTGGTCGCCGTATGGTGGCCACTATTGTCCATGGCTGGATTGCATTTGTTCGCCCGGTTTGAGCCGCTTTGGTAGACGCCTCTTTTTTTTTTTTTTTCTCTTTCTTTTTTTTTTTTTCCTATCCTCTCCCCTCTCTCACTCTGTTTCACTCTCTGCCCCTTCTCTTGTCACTGATCTGCAAGGAGGGAGAGCAGCATCGCCGCCGCCACCAGCACCATCACCTCCTCCGCCGGCGGAACCAGCCCTCTGAGCCCGGCGGCATCAAGCCAGCCCATCGCCGGTTACTTTGGCGCGCCAGTGACTCGGGACAATCGCTACTTATTTCTATCAATAGAAAGTGTTGTGTCAATAACGCAGCCAAGATCTCGCCAATCGTTAACTTCCAAGAGGAGAAGGTAAACTAGATAATTGCTCAATTCGCTTCCAACAGTCAACAGGAAAAGTTTCCCCCCCACCCCCCCGAAAGTGGCTACTTTTCATTGGCGCCCGCTCCTCCCCCGCCCAGGGAAGGAGGTGTCTCCCTCCTTCTCGCCTCTCTCCCCTCGGCCTCCCTCCCCTTTTTTTATTATTATTATTTGCAATCTGCTTAACCAGGCTTTAGAGGCCAAGCAAATCCGAGATCAATTTTCTTGTTTGGCTTTAAGTGACATCATCTAAAATCATTGTCCAAGTGCTAAATAGGGATGTGAAACCCAATTCAAGGGCAAGTGCCAGAGTATTTGTCAAACGAGGTGCTGCAGAAGAAGCGGCTGGAGGGGAAGCTGTCTGTTTCCTTGCCACTTCCCAGCCACAGCTCTCTTTGTGCGTGGGTCTGTCTGTGTGTGTCTGAGGGACGGAGGGAGGGAGACGGCTGCTCTGCTCCTGGGACTGCTGCTGGTCTGCTCACTGCTTTACAGAACAAGGCTAGGCGGCGGTGAGCTTTTGGAAAACGCAGTAAACAAATGAGCGGAGAACTTATGACAAGCAGACTGAGGGAGCAGAGCACGGGGATGCAGGAACCATCAGGACCAAAGTCCAACTAGTGTTTGTGAGCAAAAGGATGAATCAAAACCTGGGGCTGGGGAAGGAACAGAGAAGGTAGGAAGAGGGAGTGCCTTTTTAAATCTGAAGCACAACTTATGCGTATATACATATATACACACACACACCTGCACATACATGTATATCACCCACATATACACTATAGCTTCTCTATCCTTAAATAATGCGTGTAGAAAACAAACGCCGACAACTACGGGTCTGTATTTATGATACCTTGTGATAAACGCAGAAGTATACAACACACACACTGCTGACAGGTATATGTGCACCTGAACAGACGCGCTCACAATGTATTTCAGCGAAGATTGGCGGCCCTGTTAGGGTGGTAGCTCCAGCTCCCAGGGTGTTGGGACTTTCAGCGGGGAGCAGAGGGTGAGCGGGGAGGCGGGGAGAGGAGAGGGATAGAGGTGGGTGAGAGGCTTTCTGTGTCCTCCTCTGTCGCACCACCCGACAGCTCGGGTCAGAACAAACTCCTGTTTCTCCCTCCGGCCTGGGGTTCACTTAGCTGGTGATTGAGAGACAGCTACCGAACGCTCCGGGAGAAGCCAAGGGTCCTGTGTGTGCACTGGGGGCGGGCAGCCTGCGGAACACCGAAGGACAGAGCCCGGCCGGCTCTCCCGGCGGAGGGGCACACGGGGCGGCCTACACTCCCGCGACCCCACTGCCCTTCTCAGGGCCGGGGGAGGGAGGGAGGAGGTCTCGGGTTTGCTAATGGAGAGAAGCCTCTAGCGAGGCTGGGAGGCCCGGCCCCCGCCGCACGGGTACCAGCTAGGGAGCCTGCAAAAGGCTGTGTCTCCCTCCACCCCCCCCGGCCCAGGACAACCCACTTGCAGGGAACCGAGAACAGGGAGGATGGGCTGGGGCCCCGGGGAGGGATGGGGGGAAGCATCCTTGCCCTCGGCGCTGTGGCCGGGCCGAATCCGCCCTGGGTCACCGCGGCCCCTTTTGAGGAGGACAAGGAAGCGGCTGTTCCACGACGGTACCTCTGCAGCCCGCAGCTGCCGTTCGAGCATCGGGGAGCTGCAGGCGACTGAGGAAGAGACACCCCGCGGTCCCCGGGACAGGCGTCCGACGACGGGCTGCGGCCCCGGCACCCCTCACTGCGGAGGATGCGCCCTCACGCCAGGCGACCTCCGTGTCTTCCCCGTCCTGTCGGTGCCCTGGGGGGGACACGGGAGCTGGGACGGACACAGCCGTGCGGATAAGCGCCGGACGGCGGAACCGAGCCGCGCCGGGCGGGGACCCCGGCAGCGATGCTCTGCTCCAGCCCTGCTCCCTGCGTTCCCTCGGCTGGGGTGGGGGATCCTGGCCCGGGCGCAGCTGCCCCCGGCAGATGGGTCGCGGCGTTGAGACCGTAATTGCTGCTCCGGATCGGGTGGCCGCTGCCGCCCGTCTCTTCTTACCTGCTGCTTCCCACACCGGCACCGCCAGCTTCGCCTCGGCCGGTGTCACCGGCCCGGGACAAGCGGGACGCAGGGACTCGGGGGAGGCCGGAGCCGTGTTCACCCAACGCCGTGTGGGGCGGTTACCCGCTCCTGCGGGGTGTCGGTGTCTCTCGCTTATTTTGTGCCTGCCAGAGGAGAGTTTCCTCCTTCAGAGCGATTTACATTTAATTCAATCTAGGGAAATTTCCTCTTGATTGGTGCTGAAGAAGGGAATTATTGTTGAGTGGGTTTTAGAGGCTTCAAATCCCATATACTTAATATGTTAACAGCTTGCTCTTAACTGGTCTTTTTAGGATTGACTTTTTGACATGTGTTTGAAAGTAAAATATGTAGTGTCTTTTAAGCAGGGTAAATATCCCAAAGCAGCAATTACAGCCCTGCCATTACAATTATACCGGCATCCTCAATACTGGGAGACACTCTTGGAGAAACGGGAGCTTTATTATTCGTTAGTTTTTACAGATATGCCTCCCTTGCTTTCCGTACAGCATACAGAAACTTGTCCTCGTCCCTAATTATTAAATAACGATATAAATCCTTTTATTTTTAATTTTTATTTTTGTGGGAAGTCATTCTGTTTCGTCTCAGAAATGGAGCCTTGCCAGTACTGGAGATGTTCACAATATAGATAGGCTTACAGAAACCAGTGTCGATAGATTCTCTTCAGTCCTGGCCCGAACTTTGTCTTCCACTCGGACCGCGCTTCTTTAGCGACGTTACAGATGTGCCGAGCTGCAAACACCTTGCAGTCGTGCTGGTGAAGGGAGGTTTGTCCCCGAGGCAGAGATTTACAGGCTCTGAGGGTGGCGAAAAGCAACCTGCTGTCCGGTTTCTTTCTGCAGCCTGGGCCGGGCTCCCCGGAGCCAGACCGAGCCCCGGCAGGGGAAGGAAAGGGCCCGCGGCCACCCGGAGTTACAACCCATCGGAGGAATTAAGGGCAAAAGTTTTACCTAGAGTTGATTTCGTGTTCTGCCCGGGAAAGGTGTTGTTCTCTTTTTCCCCGTAATCGGCTTTGTGTTTCATTCTCTCCTAAGCTATGTTCTTGATATTGCTCACTTGCATTATTATCATAACGTATCTCTACATGCACTCAAAATCCGAGTCACCGGCGAATTCATCTCGTCGTCAGGATTACTCCAATCCGATCCCAGAGGCGATTAGAGGGAGGTAAAATACCGCCTAAAGCCTAATCTTTAATTTCTTCCTCCTTAATAAAACGAGTAATTCCATTGCGTTTTTAAGTAAAGAATGAATTGAAAAGGATAATAACTCCTCTAACCTTCTGCTACGCGTATTACTCTTTCCCTTGGAAACGTTTCACCGAGCGGCTGCTCCCCGCGGGAGCTCGCTCCGAGCTGGCTCCGCGGCTCGGGAGGGGACACCCCGGCCGGGCGGGCTCCGGGCCCTCTGTCCAGGCGGGCTTCGTATGGAGCCACCGGGGAGGCTACGGAAACACTTCCTCCCGCCACACCGGAGGACTCGACGGCGCCCGGTCAGACCCTCATTACTGTCAATATTATTGCATTAATCGAGATTCGCTGCAAAAGCTGGGCTTAGCTCTCACCAAGCACCAGCCCTTGCCGTGCCCTCCCGAGTCACCGGCTTCGTGAAGAGGCGATTTACCCTGACATGGGACAAGAGCTCCTCCGCCCCTCCGCCGCCCTGCCCGAGGAGCAGCCCGGCCCCGCCGCAGCCGCGCTCTCTACCCCGGCTTCATGAAGCTCGGAATATGTCCCTGGGCTCATTATTTTTTCCCACTCAGGGTTTGCAGTTTACTGTGTTTTGAAGGGAAGCCAAAATATAAACGGGGGAAAGAATTAAAGCGGCGATAAACAGACCCGGGATTACGGGGATGGTGGGCCAGCTCCGCTCCCCCTTTATCGGCCTGCGATGGTATGGGAGCAACTGCCGCCGTCCTTTTCGGTGGGAACCTGCTGCTGTCCGCTCGGGCGCGGCCGGCCGCGGGGAGGAGGCAGCAGAGCCTGACGCACTGGGCAGCAGCCCCGGGCTCTACGCGGGCTCGGGCTTTGCCGGGTTAAATTGCAGCATTGATATTTTATCCATGGAAAAAAAACAAACATGTGTATATAGATATATGTGTATATATATGCATATACCTTTTGAGATTACGCATAGTCCCCCACACACTGAGTGCGTGCCGGCATCCCTCTACATCAGTTCCACCGCAAGGAAAAGAAGAAAGAACTGCTATTTTTAACTGACTCCATCACAAAAGCAAATCCAGTTGACAGTGACCCGCCAAACACAAGTGTTCCCGGAGGTAAAACAAAGTTTGACACTACAGCGCGTCTCGTACAGACCTCTCTAAACCGAAATCCAAACGGGTGCAAATTAAGCCTTTTCATGTATAAATCCTTTAATCACGTGTAATCGAAATTACAAGTGACCCTCTGAAGCAGTGCTCCCGGCCCTCCCGTAATTCTTGCGGGCGGGCGGTGCAAGTGTGCCAGCGAGGGCCGGGAGCTTCAACAATCACGTCTAATCTAATCAGTCCGCCCGCGAGGGGACCCGTCGGTGTCATCAGCTCCAAAGGGCCCTTGGTGGAAGTGGCTGGGAGAGGCCAGCGGCAGCTGAAGCCGTGAATGACACTTTCCCATTTGTTCCTTTCCCAGTTCAACAAATGTTTATCCCCGTTTGCTGTTCAATGAACGCCTTCCGCTCTTTGGCTGGGGGAAGCTACTTTTTTTTTTTTTTTTTTTAAAAAAAAAGCTTCCTGAATAGGATCAGGAGCAATTAACTTATTTTTGTTTTCTCTTTTCTCCCAGTGTACTGGGAGCTAACCTGGAGCAATGCAAAGAGCTGCTCGGCTGCCTGAATGCCTCTGCACCGCTGGCTCCCAGTGAGGACGGGGAGGGGTGTCCACCGTCCAGGGGCTGCAGCAC